TTGTGGCATATATTATTTCATTCCTTTTGATTTATCCCCAAAATGGATTGTTACTTTCGCGGCCTCTTTCCCTTTGTCTCGAATTTGGGAAATTCTGATAGCTAATTGTGATCACTCAGTACAGTACTTCAGTGCCCCATCATCGCAAACAGGAGATCATTCAGTGCGTCAAATTGTTGCGACTTATTATAATACCTTTCAGATTAACATGACTGGTTGAATGAAAACTGTATTCCATCATCGTGAGGTCACATAGTCCGTACAGTCAAACTGGCAAAGGTTGTGTTTTTAATTTCTGCAAGAGAATAACATCATGAAGGAAAATTATCGAACTGATCCGGAATTATTTTTATTTGGCAGACTTACTCTAATCATGACACAACGATAAATGATCTATCCTCTATTATTGATATCTGTCTGTTACAATTGGAGCTCTAATTCATTTATACTCCGTATTCTCCCGTCGAATTTTACCGGTTAATATAGTTCATGAATTGATGTTTCGCAGGAGTAATCCTCGGTCTCACATCACGCAACATCTAACATCCGTAGTTTTCCCGTCCGGTCTCTACGAGCCAACCTCTCTTTCTGTGTATCTCAGCCTTATCCGACATTTCATTAAAACTCCTATTGGTGATTAAAATTCTCTTGGTTCAAATTCTACACGGTTTCATATTACCACACACAAACCATCATATTCCATGCGTCAACGGAGGCACATGAGGTGACCGGGAGCGGGGACACAATCTATGCTCACGGATATTGTACCTTATGGGTTCCGCTTGACAACGTAGCTACAGGCAGTGTGGAAATCCAGTTGACCTGATGCGATCTCATTAGAAGAGACCAAAGATGAAGCTGTATTAACAAACTGTATGTGGGTGGAGGGGTGGATGGTGAATTGGGGAGGGGCGGGGGGTTCCCAATCCGAAATGAGTGAAACTGACGATAGAAGAGCCCATCGTTGCTGAAAGAAAGTCGAGTTAAGCTGTCCTCGAGGCAGATCTTAGAGACAAGATGCACAACTGGATACCATCAGGTTCACACATACTGACGTCATCAAATGACGAGGGGAATAAGATAAATTGCTCTAATACCACTGTAACAAAGGAGTGGTTTGGAGGAAACGCTACTAGGGAAAGAAAACTATAGAAACATGTGAAGGAGCCCGCAGCTTATGGATGATTGAATTTCAATAACACTTGTTATCATCGTGTTCTTTTTAGCCCCTATCTGCACAAAAACAACACCTTTGTTCCAAAGCCATTCGCAACGGGAGAGTTGCATGAACAATGATGTATCCAGTTTCACTGAAAAGTTTACGATTAAAGTTGCTGGTCACAGTAGTCCATCCGGTATGCACATTGTGATCAAAAATATGATGGCGGGACACCCATGACTCGTTATTGTGTGGCTCGGTCATCGGTTGACTTATTTCCTTAACAATACAAAATAAATAATAAAAATGAACTGTCAACTGTATTCATTTACATTATCTCGATTCTCAGCATAGAATGGCGTTTCAATGAGGACAGTAGAACTTGATATGTCGTTCAGCTGTTGCATAACACAATCCGTGATTTGATGGACAACAAGCGTTGGATTCTTCTGAATGAAAACCACTGGAGTAGCTCATTCTGTTGTACGTCCAGTCAAACGTATATGGTGTTTGTGAATGAGTATATCAAACGTACACACCACTGTGTGATGAACTGTAGGCGGGATGCACCCAATAGTCACGAAGAACTGTTGTTCAGTGATGGTAACCGGCAACCTAAACCATGGGACTGGCGAACCACATAAGGCTAGGTCAGGCGTGGTATAGAACCATAATTCGTGATTGGTTGGTAGTCTGTAAATATAACACTCTTTACCATAACAGTGCCTTCACCGAAGAAATCAACCTTGTTGGCACATATATGGTTCCAGATATATGCCTCATATGACGTTGAGTCGTCCAGGGTACCGGTTCCGTTTCTCTGTGCCGTGGATATGTTATTGCTTGTTGCCCTTCGTGTGCACCACGGATACTCACATTGAGTTTCACGAACACCTATCTACAAATCCGACGGACGGAACGAAGATCGTAAAAATCTTTCTCATTGTTAATATTTGATGTTTCTGCTTCCTCAAAGGTTTATCAACGTAGGCTCATCAACAAGCACTCAATTAATTTCTTTTGTCAGTAAATTTTTCGCGACAGCTTTTTTAAATTCACATCATTCTAACTTTCAGGGTCAGGACTTATCCGGATTCAGATAACCGGCGTTCTTACGCATACGGGATTTGTTTCCTTTCCGTGAATGATTCCGATTTGTTCAGTGAACACTAATGTTTTGACTTGTACCCAAAAGACGTAGATCACAATTGTGCTCCTAGACGTCCAGACGAGGTTCTGTGGGATAAGATAAACAGTGCTTGAAATGAAGTTTGATGGAAGAATCAGGCCGTTCGATGATAAACAATAGTTTGTACCGTTATGCGAAAAAAACGTTTCTCTGCCGAGTTCCACTTTCATGTGCCCACGAATCGTATACACACTACACCCGCATTCTAACACACCTTTATTTTATTTAGTTGTTACATGATTGGAGAGAGAGATATAGAATATGCACCAAAAGTAAGAGCTATTTATACAACGTAGACAGTAATGATAACTAAATGCCATCACTGTCTGCCAGTGCAAAACCCATGAACTGTTTGATTGCATCCTCCGCTATCACCACTGTAGAATTGGATTTTTCGCGGCGATTAGCCTCTTACTGTAAACCATCTCTGTCAAAGTAAACACTCCGGGAGAATTTCGACTTGGAAAAACTGAATTCAAAATAGTGACCGCATTAAATTCGAAGAATCGGGGCTCATCAAAATCGTAAAACGATTTCGCGTATTATGCTAAGCGAACTGTTACTGACACAGGGCGTGATACTTCAATTTGGTTGGAAGAATCCGCAACTTCTTTGGAGAAAATCTTCTGAGCGACTGGCACGCATTTGTATCTCGTGGCTTAACATCTATTTGGCGTTTGATGACAGAGAGAAAGAAATAAAACGATTCGCCACGCGATCGCGAACGGATTTATCACCCTGATTGTCAAATCATGGGGAGCGTAAGCTGTCCCAGAATGCACACAACGATACAGGAGCCGAGAGTTAGGACCCACGTGCTTTATGACGAACCACAAGTTGTCCAAACTGTCACACATCTCATTGATAACCGGTCCGGAAAGCAAATCTTACTACGGTCCCCATCAATATTGATCGCATCGATCGACGCGGGCATTGCGAATTGCTCAAGTTCTGCCTGAACTCACTCGTTCGAGTATCAAAAGATAACAGACCACATGTGAGATAATCCATACGTAAAACATTCGAGTTCAAGGAACCCCTCATACATCTACGTCACCTCCACCACACACATTGTTCCGTTTTTTTAACTCAGATTCAACGCATGGTACGAGTCATTCAGGTGTCATGTTAGTTATTCATCACAGGCCACGCGAGCATTACGTAACCGATTTGCATAACCGAAACAGGTAGGTGTGATGGAGCACATTCCGTTAAGAGTGACGTAATCGCTTCAAGACGAGAAACGCCTTGACACTAAGTACATCGCATTCTCTACCCCCGCGCAACGAGCGAGATTTGACAAAACGCCCAAATTTTGTCAAACAAAGGGAAACAGAGAGAGAGAGAGCAAGCTGCATCGATGGAAAGTCACTTTGTATTTCTGGTCACGAGATCGATGGAAAGACGAACGCGTGAACGTCGGAAACGTTAAATATATATATACAGCTACAACAGTTCTGAGAAAATGTCATCACAGCCAAATGGATTCCGCTGAAGAAAGTGTAGTAACCAACGGAGAGCATAGAAAAATACAACTCTGTACACGAGGAGAAGGCAAAGTAACATGATAATTACGTGCCACGGGAATCATGTTCAATCGATCGTGAAGCCAAAATTTCAAGGGATTCACACGGTCGGATTGGAAGAGCACAAGCTCTTCCTGTGGCTACATTAGAAGCAATGGACTTGACACAGGGCATCGTTTCTGATCTCTGAATGCGCATTGAATGTGCACTAGAGGATCGGAACCGTCGAGCTTGTGCAACTGTACGATAACCGTAGGCAAGGAGATTCGTTTGTGTGGTCATTCGCCAAAGACCAGGAAGCTTTACTAGAGTGTTCGTATTGATCTGAAATGAGAAACAACATAAAATAATCGATGGAGGAAGATAATGCATACAGAAAAGGAAATTGAGTATCAGTGCGAAATGATGCTTACCTGTTTTTCGTTGTTCAAGTTGCATGTTGTCTCGCGGAAACGCTTCGATACGTCTGGTTGTCTTAGCATACCGGAGAACGCTATTGGGAAGTAGGATTGAGTGAGTGCGCTTGGGGTACACAGACGCGAAGTTCCGTAATCATTCCGNTTTTCGCCCGGTTCGGTTGGCACGACTCAACGGGGTTGTACTAGTTGTCTGGGATCGTACGGAATCCGGGGTTTGGTGAGGACCGATACCTGGTACACGTCGACGGAACGGAGAAGCTAATGCTTCGACCAGTGGACAACAGAAGAACAGATCACTTGTGCTACCCGCACCCCCATTAACGCCCAAACTTGCCACGGATGTGGTGGAAATGAGCGAAATGCGAGCAGATGCGTTGGTTGGTTGTGGAGTTGTTGTTGTTGTGGTGGTGGTGGCACGATCAAAACCCAGTGTGGACAGACTCAAACTGTTCGGGCTATCAAAGTCCTTGATTTGCAGTGGAGGACAATCAAATATTGGTGACGCGAAAGATTGCCTGTCGTCTACACATGCAGAAATCGTAGTGGATTTCTCATTCACCGGGGTTTGTTCATTCCTTTCGAAGATGGGCTGAAGATTTAGTGGAAAATTCAGTTTTGGTATTCGAACAGGATCGATGAGAAAAAAACAAGAATATTTCAGGGGAAAAAATCTCACCTTATTGTACACTTGATGTTCGAAGCAACTTGATATACTGATGGTACTTTTCAATGCCAGTCGTCTCTGTGTAAGACAAAAGAAAAAGATGAATATCATTCGGCGAAAACATTATAAAACTATGAGCAATCATATGAAAAAATACTTAAAACTTACTCGAAGTGACGATCGAATCGTTTTTGCCGCTTTAAAGGCCGAATGTCCTGTGTTCGCTCGAACAAATGGAGCTGATGTGGGAGACGGGGACGGAGTGCGGCTGGTCTTATTTCTAGACCATTGTTGCCGCCCATTGAACGCATGACGCCCCAGTTCATTCGAACCGGGTGTCAGTCCACCATTGGTAGCATTAAATCGTTGGATTAGCCTTCTTTTTCGCGGATCCGTGTCTGGCATAGCCTGGACCGCAGCACAGAGCTCGGCGACAGCATATTCCGTTTCACCCAGTGATGAATGATGGCTTGTACCGATAGTGGTAGATTCGTCGTCTAGACTGTGCGAATCCAGACAATTGGTTGGTTCCAATTTGGAACGCACGGCAAAATTGATACATGTCACCATAGCTGGTAAATCCGCGGATTTGTACGGCATCACAGAACTGTCTGCATCACTACCACCATTTGGCTGACTTGTTTCGTTCCATCCGAGACCGGAATCTTCGGATGCTGTACGAATTAGATTGTCCGAAGCCGGGACGGAGAACTGGACCTCAGTCGGAACATGATTATCACAAGTTTGCAATGGACCGTTCAGTGTGATTCCGAGAGCGTATTGCAAATGCGCATGATTTCTCTCGATATCCTGAGCGAAACTGCGCGGGATCATCCACAACCCGGAAACACCTTGCTGTATCATGGTTGTCGCAAGTCTTGCAAGGTTGTTATATTGGATATGTAGATCGCGGATGTGTACCTGAGAATGCAAGTAACGAATCACTGAGTTTGCGTACAAATTCCTCGTGTCAATGGTATTATCATCCATCAAACATTCTGATAGTCTATTCTATATCTATCTATTCTATAGTCTATTCTACTGATAGTCTATTCACACCGAACGAATCGGACTCACCTTTCCCGGAGAGAGTAGCAACGGACCGAATAGGGTACCTAGACTTTCGGCAGTCATACGGTTTTGATCGGAATAGTCCAGTGTGCGTTGTAGTAGTTGAAGAAGCCGTTGGAATATGCGAGTATGTGCATCTGGTAACAGGAGGCATAGGAGGCGTAAAGCCTTCAACTGTTTCGCCTCGGCTATGCGTTCTTCAACCGGTCGGAGTTGAACACGTGTGCCACGATCATCGATGCGACCTGCAGTTAGGGCTGCAAAAAACAACAAGTACATTGATTTATAAACTAAAAATAATGTAATATAATATAAATGCAGAAGTTGAAAAACTTCTGTAAGTTGACTTACCCGCTACTTGTGCGAACAAAGGCAAGAGACGACTGCTTAGAATTGGTTCAGGCAATTCGTACAGTACGCCTTTCAAACCGGAAGCGAGGTCGTGGACATTGATCTGTGAGGAAGTACATGTAGATTCGGAGACCAATGTGAACTGTCCTCGTCGGGAAACTGCACTCGGAGTGGGGATGGGTATGCGTCCAGCTGGTCGCCAAGGTTTCGGTTCCGAGAAGTGCAATAACGCTTCGGGATTGAGCAATCTATCTGACAAGATTCGTTGCCGAACAATACGTTGACGGACCACGTTTCCGGTCTTTCGAAATATGCCCTCAACCGAAAGGTCTGCGTGAAATCGTAACAGATTATTTCATTAGTTTTGAAACGGATTGCTAATCATCATTTTGTTCAGTATAACTATTCGGTTGGGCAATGGTTACTTACGATCTGGTGTATCCAAGGCATCCATTACGAGCATAATGTTTCGGAATACTTGATCCGCGATACCCGATCTGGTACCGGAAGAATTGTGTACATTCCTTCGGCGATTAACTACAATAAGAAATGGAACCAAATAAGGGATTCACAAAAATATCACGTCTGAACATAGAATAAAGCTAGCCTATCTAAGTAGACCAGATAAGCACGCGTTAATCGAACGAGCGCTCGACCGTGCGCGCGCGCACACATTGTCAAACTCGGTCAACCGGGGGTACAAATTTTGACCTCGTTTATAACACTGATAAGCACGTTAAGGTGAACGTAGGTAGAAACTCACCGTGAAATGATCGTCCAGTTTCCGTATCATTCGGAGGTATATGGCGAAATCTTTGCCATGGCTTGATAGGACGCTTTGATGGTAGTCGGTGTGTTGATTCGCCTGTCGTCCCCCCAGTGTCTCCCCCAACCATTTCTGGTGCGACCAAACGGGGAGGGGTACGCTGAAGTGACTCCGCTTCGGACGTAACGGTTTCCTCAAAAAATCCCGACGGCACATCGATTAGGACAGATAGGTGAAATGTGCAAAGTTCCACGAAACGTTGCGGCCACGCCTCGCGGAACCCTTTGACCAAACTGGATTCCAACTCTGCTTGAGCCAACCAGTCTGCATACTTGTTTAAATTGGCCTGAAATGTGAGCATATGGATGAGTTGCCAGTCAGCACCCACAAATCAGTTTGTCCAATTCGGTTAGCACACGTCGAAATCATGTTTACCCACATGAAACTTCAATCGCTGTCTGTTTACTCAGATTGTAACTACCCGCACGATAAAAGTACAATCCAGGGAACGGTGTATTTCAGATAATGTTATCCATGAGAAATATCTCATACCAAATCAAACTACAGCATATTCATCGATCATTTGAGCGGTTTATTCCAAATTTTACGGTACGCGATTGTACTGTACAAAGAGTCTCCCCCTCAATTTCCAGGGTATGAACGAACGATAGACGACCATCTTATTAATCGCTGGATATATCTGACCGCCAAGCATGCATCAACAAAAATATAGATCCGAACAATAATCCGAAAACTTGGAAGACGACGTATGTCGCTTGTTTGGTTACACTCCGTGATACACTACAGAGAATATCAAGTAAAATCTGAGGCGATCTATACCGTTTCCAGCTCGATCTTTTTGAAGTGTGGACAAATCCTTCAAAGCTACTTCAACCCATTACTTTCACAAACTCCTAGGTAGTTTAGCTGTCGCTCACACTTGAGCTAGTGGGCCCACTTTAAGTCCCGGGGCTTAGGATGCCAGTTACCATCATTAAAACAGCACATCTTTGTTAATATTGAGTACGCCCCGACTGCCGAACTTCACACCCTGGTGTATTAAAAACTGGCATGAAAGTACCGTACCACTGAAAAACACTGTTTAGCAGAAGCGTTTCCCTCACAATATGAACTTTATTCAGCTTATCAACTTGAAAGTAAAGTTAGGCTACCTTTGGTAGACTGGTCGATTAATTTCGAGGCATAAAATTAGTCTCATTTTTAACCAATAACCCTCTTTAATAGCCTCCCCAAGGAATATGGAAAAACGCGATGACATACTAAAGAACATGTTCACTGCTTAATCAATCTAAGACCGAATCCGTCAAAGTGCGTATCACTGGTCTGATAACGCACACTCACCTCAAGATCGGAGACAGGTTCGTGCGGAGTCGATGGAACACGTGTGCATGCGGTATACATTCCGTTTCAATCTCAGTATCCGTAATTACAAAGGTAAACTCCAAACATAAAATCCTCGTTACGGTCAAAAACACGTCGAACATAAAATCAGCTGGTTTTCCCCACAGGTTCAATTTATATTACCTCTGATCAGAGCGCGGGTTTGTAGGCTGCCCATTGGCCGCCTAGCCCAGTCCGGCTAACCAACCAGATCGTGCGAACGGTCACCGCGTGAATCACTGGCGTTGTAGATTGGACCAATCAGTGCGATCGACACTCCTACATGCGTGTGATGGGGGTAGTGTGGAATATGGTATGTGGTTCACAAATTCCGCAGGGGAAGAACTGCAGATCTGTTTAGAGTACCCCTGATGCGCAGTTGTCCTGCCAATTAAACTAGTAACTGTTAGCTCAAGATCGGAGCTCGATCTTCACCAGAGACAACAACGAATATTAAGGACCGTCACTCTGCACTCACGCACAGGTTTGCTACTCTAATTCGATTGCCACTTGTGGTATATATATATATATATTTCACACTTGTCTGAGGACAGACTGTGTGCCAAACAAATCATGGTACAATAATCCTTATAAAAAGAAAAATGTTCCATGATTGGCCTGTGGGCTGAGTACTGCCAGGTTGCCCAGGCCAAGGCAGATGAATTTTCTTGAGGAATCCACAACCGGAGCTTTCGGCTAGCCAAAGCCTGACCCGCAAGGCAGCGGGGCGGTGTGCGAAAACTGCAGTCT